AGTAGGGCCAAGAAAACCCGGATTATTTTTTTCGTGTTCAGTAAAACGTACGTTAGCTATTTTAATATGTTGTACCACACGGCTATCAAGCCCCTCGTAAAATTTCGGGCCGTCTGTTCGACTGTGGGGCGCTGTATGTCGGATTGAAATTCGGGGGTGTATTATATGGGACAAAGGGTGTAAGAATACACCTTTTGACACCCTTTTTTCTTGAGAGTGCAAAATTTGGTTTTAACCGAAAAAGGTGAGCATTTTTGGGCCGTGTGGCACAGCTGATAGACTTTTTTGATGTCATTGTGTGACCTTGTGGCGCTCTTTATTATCCAGTTCTCAGCTATCTTCGGGATTGCCCTCCCTATGCGCTGGGGGAGAGTTAAGCTGTAGACATAGTGGTAGTGCTTAGGCATACAGCTTATAGGCTTGCCCGTGTTAATTTTATTGTTTTCCTTAATGATTGCGTTTTGTGTACCAAATTCGCTCTCGTTTGAAGATGAGGTTTGGTTTGTTTTCATTGTCCAAAATTCTCCACAACTTCTCAATGTATGAGGGCATTTTCAAAGTTCCTATTGGACGACGAGACTCCAGCAAAAGTTTCGAAAGTACGTAAAGTAGTCAGAGCTTAGAAACGTGGAACCGGTTGCCTTTTGGCGCCCACATTTTATTGACTGACTAGCTTTAACTACTGGAGCACTTCAGCTCGGTAGCTTGCCGGTTTCGAGTCTAAATGCCATCGCGTACGAGAGCGGAGCATCGAGCGGCCGTGATCATCAAAGGTCCTGTCACATTGAGGAAACACGGCGACGACAGCAAAACAACATGTTCATAAACAGTTGGGTCAACTTTGTTCTCTGTCCCTTGTTACTCGACAAACCTGTCATATCGCGGGAACATCAGCACAACACAGGGACAGCAACAATGTTGCCTCGATGGGACAGCTTTCGGGAACAAAAACAGCAGCAACTTCTGTTGGACGACCGGTGTTGCCAGATCGGTGGATGGCGAATTTTGTTCTGTGAACAACGAAGATAGCTTAATTCGATAGCGGATTTTTTTTTTATCAATAACGTATTTCTCTTTTAAGAGCTTACTCATATAAAGCCTTGGAAAACGCTATTTTACAATACAAAGGCCGGCGTTCAGCTAAAATAATTTGACGAATGTTTTACAGTGCGTAAATACAGAAAGTGATTGTCGAAATGGTCAGCTGCTGTCGTGAACGTTGAGATGGCTATTGAAATTAGAACTGCCGAGAGACCACCTCACATTGCTGCTAAGTAAATAAAACGGCATGACTCACCCCTTGATAAAATTTGATAACAATAAACCACAAAAGCAAGCAATTCAAAAATCGAAGCATAAAAACGACTCACTCTGGTCATGAAACTTAAAACCAGGTCATGGAACTTAAAACCATCCGCTGCCAGACACCTGAATTGTTCCAAAAATCCCCATGGCGTTTTGGCGAATGAAGCGATCACATAGCAGGTAGTAAAGGTCAATAAACAGCGTTAAAAAACGTTTATCCCACCGATTGTTATGAAGGCCGATCGTTTCGGTGTCGCAGTTTTTAAGCACTGTCAGTTCAGCTCAACATCACGCTACAAAGGACATTTTGGAACTCAATTTTACACATGAAGTAGGAATTGCAGGGAAGAGAGAACCGGAGAGAATCACTTCATACGCAGGCATAAATCACGAGCGCTGCAGCGATCTTATCTTCCTCTGTTAGGGGCCAGGACTGCTTCGTATGCCGAATGAAGACCATTTTGTTAAAATAAAGAGTGGAAAATACTCCCCCTGTCAAGTTTCCTAATCACAGCCACTGGTTGATGATCGTGGTAATTTCCGACCCTTCGAGCGCACTAGAACTTTGTACAGTCACATTTCCAGCGCAGTCACGCCGCACGAATGAAGGTAAAGAATGAAAATAGCGGAGTATTCCCCGTGCTGGCCGTGCCATCAGCGCGGGTGGGAGAAAGTGTTCTCTGACTGTCGGACAACAAATCCGAAAATAGGGTTGCCGGGCGACAAAAACATGTTTCCCGACAGTTGCTGTTGCCCCAATGTGACAGGGCCGCCAAGAACATAGTTCTCTCGTGTTGATGGACAGAGTTGTCAAAGTATTTTTTTTTGTTTCCGAAACGACAGTCACAATCTACAGAGAGGAGTGGGCGCGCATCAACAGGCCCCTTTCGAAAGTCACGCGCCGATTATTAGAAGGTCGGTACATTGTACAATGGCGGAACAACTGACATGTGGAACGTGCAAGTCATTCCATAAGATAGCGAACGTCGGAGCGCGGCCAACGCTGGGAGCAGGCGAGTCAATCAAACAGGTTCGAAAGCACAACATCACTGCGCTCATCACTTTTTTTTTGTCGGTACGTTTTAATTTTTTAATCTAACCAAATGCATCAAGTGTGCCGGGGCGTTGCGGTTTTAGGCCGCCATTGTGCAGGGATTCCCCAGCTGCCAAGAGTGGGCACTCTTTCCGAAAAGGGTATTAGTTTTCACTTCAATCGTATTAGGTAATATCGATTTAGATGATCAATGAAATTTAAGGTTCCTTTTTTCTATTAAAGGTGCCCTAAAGTTATTTTTGAAAAAAAAATGTTTTATGGCGTTATATAGTCTAATAGGTGTTAGTGAACATTTATATCTAGTTCCAGATTAAAATTGTTCCTACTTAACTTACGGAATTAAAAATCATACAAACACTTTTCCTTTGCGTTTTTTTTTTTTTTTTTTCTGTGCCAATGGAGAGATTACGACTGCTATCATTATGCCTGGTTTTGAGCACGTTGTGCATTGTATTTTGACAAAGACGCAAAATACTAATGACGCAAAGGCGTAATACTGTAATTTTGCTTCGAAACCAGCGAACCATAGACCCTTTTTATACAAAACGCCATCATGTGGTGCCGCAGTCTTCGACATCCCAGAGAATTTCTGGTTTATAAAAATAATAAACAAAGGTAACCTTAACACCACTGCTTGAGATGTAGATGAAACGTTTAACCAGCAATTCTCCAGGTGAACGCCAAAAGAACGAACGATTACGAGATGTGTTAAAATCTTTCAAGTATTCTTGTAAACCAACACACACTCAAAAAAAAAAAAAAAATCGCGCTTTCCTTTTTCTTTTTGTTTCTTTCCATGCTTTCTTGATGTTTTTATTTCTCGTCTTCCTCTTCTTGCCCTTTCAAGGCCCGTTCACACTCTTGCGACCGAGTTAGACCGAGAGAGACCAGACTTCTTAGGACCAGCTCCGCTGCATCACATCCGGTCCTAGTTTTTTAAAAAGCCCAACGCACACGCCTTTTGTCCTGTATAGTGTCGAAAAACGCTTTCGCCAAAAAAAAAAAAAACGGTAACGATAACGCGTTCCTTTTATTTTGAGATAACGTAGGTCGGTAACGCGTTCCTTTTACTTGCAAGTAATGAATAACTTGTTTTCTTACTTTTTCTCGGTAACGCCCAAAACACTGCCTCTAAATAACGGCCGATGTTCTGCTGAGGTACTCTATAGGGACTTCTCAGGGTTTACTTGCATATCATTATGGGCGTTTTCAACCGCTCCGTGCCATTTTGTATGCAGACAGGCTGTGCTAACTTACGTTTAGTCACATTATTTTAGGCGAAACCCCCGAATCTGCAGAGGTACATCGTTGTATGTGTGCCTCTGATGATTCAGCATTAAATTAAGCTGGCAGGTAGCCGACCAGAGCCCATGTTGGAAGTTGTCGAAGGCCTGACAGTGCTCCACCCAGACGTTGGCGCACGCGGCTGCAGTAGGGTTGCTTAAGGTCCGTTCACACTCTTGCGACCGAGTAAGACCGAGAGAGACCAGACCGGTTTTTAAGCCTTTTGCGACTTCTTAGGACCTCATTCGCTGCAGCGGAGCTGGTCCTAAGAGATCGCAAAAGGCTTAAAAACCGGTCTGGTCTCTCTCGGTCTTACTCGGTCGCAAGAGTGTGAACGGCGCTCAGTTGCCAGACAGCGCTTATCTTGTCTTCACACAAGCTCGAAGCACGAGCCACCGCTGCCCGTTTCCACCTGGATGAGCATCGTACAAGCATGCGGTCGTGTATCACTACTGCGTGGTGCGCGCGTTAAAGACTCCAGGCTAGCGGTTGTATACTGCACCGGCTAAATTGCTCACCTACAGTGGGTAACAATGTCGCCATGTTCAGACAGACTAACCGGCCGCTGTATGAACAACTAAAGATAAATTCCTTGTCCTGTCTTCTTTTCCGTTGTGTTTTAGTCCCGTCATAAGGCGAATGAAATACGAATAGGCGCGTTTGATTGGGATACCTCCTTCACCGGTGTGCAAGTGCAGCCTATCTTAAAACAAATACACGAAATGCACCGCCCTACACTACAGCAACACGTCTGCACCGGCCTAAGTAACTCAAATGTAATCTCCCAATAGGCAAGCCTAGAGTAACTGTAAAGGCTCTGCTTGCGGAGCATATGCAGTTAATCTAGGCAAGCCCAACTACCGCTTCCTGCGAGCTGCCATCTCTGGGCTGCCACATTCTGAGCGCGTGCGGTCACAGCCCAGTGACGGGGCGAGTTTCGCCCGTGTAATCACCAGCGTTGAGGCTCGTGAGGAGGCGTGTACGATGCCAGATTGCCTTGAACACGGGGTTCGAGGAAAACTTGTTTCTGCTCCCTTTTATCAGATCCCAGCTATAATGACACGCCGAAAATCCCAATGTAAACTATTTCCGCCAGTTGCATTTTAAACAATGCGCGACCGTCCAGTACTGTCTGTACCGAAACGACGTTATCGAGACGTCATCTGTTTTCTCAAAATGCCGTGTGACAGTTAAAAAGATAGCGCTCGAGCCAGGCGGCTAACTTTTGACAGAAAGCGCCGACCACACCCCCGCGCGCCGGAAGCCCTACGAGGCAATCCTCGCAAACCCCCCCCCCCCCCCCCCCCCCATGCGCCCTATCGGAGACGCGCCGGCGCTACCCGCTTCGAAGCGCCCCACTGGCCAATCTTGATCGTCCTCCCTTCTTGCCATCTGGGGCTCTAGTTTGAACTGGCGTCGTATCGTCAGAGGTGTGGTTTACTGCGATGGGACTGGCCGGTCGGCCGCGCGACGCCACTAACGCGCCAGAGTCTGGCGACGCGGCCGCCCCAGCCTTCGGAGAGGTCGACTCCGCGCGGGCACTTGGTCGCTGCTGCGTTGTTCCAGGGAAACGAAGCCATGGCTAAAGGCCCCACCGTCGAGGTTAGTCCTTACTCGTCGATCTCCCGTCGCTCGCTTCGCGAGTGAGCGCCGATATTGTCGTCGTCGTGTTTGTCATCAGAAACGCAAGGTCAGAGTGGTGTCACCGCGTCTGTGCGTTTTTCATGGAGACACGTTGTGCCATGTTTCCATGAGCGAACAAGGAGTCTGTTTCCTAAATCAACAACAAGACTTGACGACAGCCGGTGACGCCAACCGTTGTAAAGATTGCTTCCTTTGTTATAGCCAGTAAACCGGACGCCTTAAAAGATAAACTCGGTCGAGTTCGCGGACGATAACTTGGGCGGGCTATTCAGTCGCGGCAAAATAGCCCTCTCAACGTTCATCGAAAGCTCTCCATGGTCTCCAAGACCTTCACGCTTTGTGTAGTTTCCAACGTTGTCGGTTCGCGTCAAATCTTGTGCTCGTTTCGCGCCAGACCAGTATTGAGTGTCGCGTCGCACGCTTATTTCCACATCTCGATCCCGCAGATGCAGCGCCCCGACGCAGCCCATTCCGGCTCCTCGTTTGGCTGGGCCAGCGTCCGCCACAACGCCTGCAGCCTGTTCGGGGCCTCCGCCTTGGTCACCGTAGCCGCGCTGGGCACATACTTGACCGTCGCCGTGCATCCGGGCTTCCTGCCCATTCTGGTCGTCCCGCTCTTAGTGCTGTGCCACGTGCTCGTCCACCCGAAGACTGCCAAGAGCTGCTACTTCGGCCCGCCGGTCATCCGCTACGCCATGCCCGAAGAATTCTCCTACAAAATCATGGTGGCCAAGCCTCAGCCCAACTACATGGCCATCCCCGTCAGGAAGGCGGCACCGCCGCCTCAGGCGCCGATCCGAGTGGCTACGAACCGCGGGGCGTACTGCGCCCCGATAGTGCCCAGTTTCCAAGCCACTCCAACAGCCATTGTTGTGATGTAAGCCGAGAGGACAGGCTGCTCTCCCCTGTCTGCGCAAACTTTTCGGATGGGTACGTTCGGCGTGAAATGGTCTCATCGGACACTGCTGACGTCTCCGGGCAGTGTCTTCTACTTTAGGCTCAAGGCTGCTTCACAGGCTTGCGACTGCTTACGACCGGAGAGGCTAAACCCCGGATTTTTAGCATGTCCGGTCGCGAGCAGTCGCAAGTGTGTTGAACCTGCCTTCACACGTCGTAATATGGCTTTCATTGTGATCCAACTTCATAATTCACTGACTTCACACTATGTAAATAGGTATTTATGGTGTACATAACAAGGAGGTATTTTTGTATTAATACATTAAATTCGTTTCTGACATACTGCAATCCCTCTGTTCTTCCACTTGCTTTCAGAAGCCGCTCCTCCCCTTTCCCTTTTTTTTTTTTTTGTAGTTCAAAAAAGGATCGTTGTGGGCCCTTCTCGTTGCTCTTGTATCGTTTCGTTTACATGCGCATATGTTAACTTTTCTACATTCTATTTATTCCAACTGATCGGGCCCACTTTTAAGTGAATATCAAAAGTCAGTTTCCCATGCTCAGACATTGTAACTTAGCACAAAAATGGCGCTGGGTGATGCTTTTTTCTTTTTTTTTTCTTTTTTTAGATGTCATGGCTTCAATCCAAAGTTGTAACTGAGGAACAAAAATTTCCTAAGGCTTAGTATGCAGTTCAGCCTTCTTAGCCTAAAAGTGAAAAGTCATTCCTGTAGACAATTGGTGCGTTTTATAAGGCGAAAGAGGAACTCGGACCGAAGTCGGGATTGTTTTTCCAGTCCACTGGTCCATCTGCAACCCCACCGTGCAGACAGCATTGCTTTTTCGACTATATAAAACTTTCAATGTATGCTACAGTCGTAAAGTTAATGTCAAATTAAATAACTTCTTTGGGACTATACTTCATTGTATCGATATTACAATTATTCTTGCTTGTTAGTTTATCCTTTTGCTTTTATTAGACCAGACTACCTAATATTGAAACAAAGTTTTCCCAAGTTATGTCCACGATGATTTACGCGACCGGTGTGTTAAATATAATGGATTAAAAAAAGTAAGCAATCAACTGTACAGATAAAGTATACCTTAAAATAAATTATAAAATTACTCTATATTTTCGCGTTATAAAAATGGAATCACGTCGATTAATAAAAATTACGAGAATATAAATTACGAAGAATCTTTCGATATTAGAGTTTCCAGAAACTGCATATCGATAGATTACACGTAAAGTTTAGTCTTCAATTTCAAAGTCTGCCCATTCAGTTACGGCAAGTTAGTTTTCAAATATTCAATACAGATGGCATGTGTTCAAATATAGCTTGATTTGCCTTTGTCGTCGTGTGCGGTTTGGAACGCAACGTGAGGCAAAAACGGCGCTAGATGTTTGGCGGTCAGATGCCTGGAGGTCCGCACTTAACGAGTCGGAGATGCTAGAAGGCTAGAACAAGAGCGAATCTGGGTGTGAACCACAGCTGCTTTTGCGCGCGTTCCACTGAGCATCGGTATGCCCAAATGCAACGAACGCCATGGAAGGGATCCGGCAGTTGAAATTCCACCAGGTTTGCCCATAGCCAGCCGGCAACAGCCAGGCGGCGCCGGCAGAGTGAGAGCCCACGGTTAAAGTCTTTCTCGTCGTAACTTGGCAAAGGGTGAACGTTAAGCCCCACATTGCGTGCCGACGGTTTCGATATGCACCACGCATACGAGCACAGCGGACACATATTGGAGCATGACGCAGCGAAAAGCCTGATGCTTCTTCGGAATAGAGGCGCGCTCCGGCGGTACGCAGTCACGTTCCCATGGGCCCGCCAGGGCTGTAGCTTCCGCTGTACTGGCACGTTACGCGATCACGGCTTCCTGGGATACCCAGTATTTCTTGCTTCAGACACTAGGCTAAGCGGCGCAACCAGAGTAAAAGCTCTCGTTTGAATAATGCAGCCGCCACTCCCAGGGACAGCGTTCTGAAAAAAAAACAAAAAAAACTCAATGGTCGAATGACTGCGAACGAGCAGATAACGTGTCTCCAGCACGCCTCGTCAACACTTCAAAAGGTCGACTTCCGGTGGATGCAAGATGGCCGTCCGGTGGTGATCACATTCGCGGAGCAAGGAAGTGCGGTCCAGCGATTGTAAAATATTAGTGGTTCACCCTTTTCCCTGACAGCCCAATCGCTCTCGGGGAGGGGACAACAGGGCATTGCAGACGACAGTTGCACTGAACACTGTACGATATGAGCTACAGTTCAGACCAGCGCTCCAACATGACTATCCGCAGGTCGATCGATTGCACCATAGTCGCTCAAGCGGTCTTCTTAAACACTTTATTGCTTCGGCGCAACCGCCCCGCTAAATTTAGCGGGAAACAGAATTGGTGTTGAGGTCACGTGACGTCAATTTTTCCCGCTGAATCTGGCGGAGGAACTGAATTTTTTCATGGGTGACGTAACACAAGGTCATGTGACGGCAATTTCTCCGCTAAATTTAGCGGGGAAATTAAGTTGGTGTTGAGGTCACGTGACGTCAATTTCCCCGCTAAATTTAGGGGGAACTCAACCCGCTAAATTTAGCGGGAAGAGGAGAGGAGAAGGACAGGAGGAGGAGGAAGGAGGAGGAAACGAGGAGGAGGAGACAAGGAGGAGGGCCATACCCTCTCCTCCTCCTCGAATAGCTGCGCTCTAGTTTAGCGTTACAGGAATTTGTAAACGTCTTTCATTTCTTTCTACAGCTATACATTTCCCGGCAGTTTGATACTTTAGACCCATGTCACGGATAAAAATGAAAGCCGTTTACAAGGTTTTACAACTCCCTTAATTAGAGCGCAGCTCTTGAGGAGGAGGGAAGGGTACTGAGGGGAGGGTATACCTCTCCTTCGTCCTCCTCCCCTAGTGATCCTGCCTGCTACTCCTCCTCCCCTCCTCCCTCGTCCTCCTCCCATCCTCCTCCTCCTCCACCCCCTCCTTCTCCTTCACCCCCTCCTCCTCCCCTCTTCCTTCACCCTCCTCCCCTCGTCTCATCCTCCCTCCTCCCCCTCCTGCCCTCCTTGGGAGGGGTCACGTGACCTCGGGGGGGGGGGGGGGGGGGTCACGTGACCTCGCGGTTACGCCGACGGCGACGCCGCTCTAGCCGGAAACGGGCCCCTAAGAGCTGCGCTCTAAAGAAACAGGGAGCGGGATGGCCAAAAAAACACGTTTTTCGTGTAAGGCTCGTCAAATCATGAGGCGCTGGAGAAATGGAACCTTCTGCTTTAAGTCCTTATTTCGAACTCCTTTTGTTCGCCTTCCGCCCATTGAAAAGCATGCGGGAAGGGACTTAGAACGCACCTGGAATCGCTGCGCCGCAGCGTTCTTCCGCAACATGAAGTTCGTCTGCTTTCATCGCTGTCACCATGGCAACGAACGCCGAATGAATGGAAGCACGCACGGTGCTTCCATTCACCGTGCGTGCTTCCATTCACGAATCAATCACGGAACGTCTTGGTCTTAAACCATATGTACAGGGTCAGGTTTTCTGTCAATGAAGCACAGGCTGAACCCCCCCCCCCCCCCCTTTCCTCTCAAAAAAGAAAAAAGTCTACACGCTAAAACAGCTCGCAAAAATCAAAAGCTTGACGGATAACGTTATAGCTGCTTTGTTGTCGTGTTCGCGCCGACACTGTCGCCTTGTGCACGTTTTATCAATGAGGAAAAAAGTGCCTTCTCCACTATTCGCAAATCCAAATTAGCCATAAAACAGAGGAATGTGGTTCGGAAGGCATTATACGTGGTGTTAACTATTTCAGCCCCATATCTTTATGGCATCAGGAACGAAGCAGCCTAGGAAGAGTGCCCTTCAAACGACAATAATAATAATTATTAAAAACTGCCGGATCTCCGCTGGAGACTCCGAGGCACGGGGGAGTAGTCGTCACAATAAAAAATCTAAAGAAACAAAAAAAATAGCCTAACGGTCGTCGGCGGCATCATGAGGCCTCGCCCAGTGTGGAGTATAACGGTCTTGGCGGTACGGTATGTATTGTGCATTCGTTATTTTCTTTTCTTTCCTACCACGTCGAATTCTGACGCCAAGGCTCTCTCCCTCCATCGTTCCAACGCGTTGTTTGTTATTAAATAAATATATCAGCTTAAAATAAGAGTCATGGCATCCTCTAGGGTGAAGAAACAAAAAAAAAGTAGAAAGAAAACAAACAAGGAACATTGCGAGCAGCCAGAGCCGCACGGCCACTCCTCCTCTCATCAAAGAAGACGCCGTCCGAAAATCCAACAGCCCCCCTTTTTTTCTTTTTTTCTTTTTTTTCATTCACTTTGTTAGTTCGTTTTGTTGTTGGATTCGACTGCTCCCTTCTCTGTGACGATGTCGTCTGTGGTCATACGTTTGGCGTTTGTTTTGTCACGCGATGGTGTGGTCCGACCGATCAACCAATGAGTTTGTTAGAATGGTGTCACGAGGTATGAAATGGCGGACCAAATAAAAATAATAAATGCAAAGAAGCGCGCAGTTCTGCTCGGCGTTTTATTCTTCCAGTGGCGAGCACCGTAGTGCCACGGCGTTTAACCTGTGCCGTCTTCATGACGCCATGAAAGACTCTCTTGAAGCAATTAATTTGCTTCAGCGCATGGGCCAGTTCCTAGCTCCTGGGTTCCCGTGCGTGTCCAAAGTGCAAAGCTGCGATGACGCTGAAAGTCCGTGCTAGATCTGCGGATGGCTACTCGTGGGGGCGCAGTGTGTGGATGATCGTGAGATGCCCAAGAGGAAGCCGGTCAAAGTTCAGTGCCGGGGCGAGGTCTTGGTACGGAGCGGTTCCTTTTTCGAAGGATCGCACCTGACGCTTCTCCAACTCATGAAAATCATCTACCTCCGGTGCCAGAACCAACCGTGCGCCGTCATTCAGCGGGAGAGTGATGCCGCAAGTAAGATTACAACTGATTGGATGAGCCTTTGTCGGGAGGTTGTGGTAAATGCCGTCATTACGCATTGAGAGATGATTGGCGGCAAAGGCGTGACTGTAGAACTAGACGAGAGTACGTTCGGTCGGCCTGGCCAGCGAGTTTTCGGTGGTGGAAATGACTGCGGTGACGGGGCGCCTCACTTTAGAAACTGCACTACGGTGACGGGGCAACCTATACAGATGTCCAATGGATACCTCATTCTGGAAGCGCTTCGTGGCGCTGAGGTACAGCGTCGGCTTCACGAGCGGGGGTCTACGGTTCGAATCGCGTTCGGGAGCATACTTTTTTTTTCACTTTTTTTTTTAGGTCACAGACGCTATATGTACAGTCGGGAGCAAAAGTTTGCGGGGCACCGGAGCGCGTGCCAAAATGCATCGCCGCGCCG